GGAAGTTTCAATTTAAATTTTTGGGGTTCCCCCCCCCCCCCCCCCGCTCTTCATTACAGATCTCAGTAACCAGGGTACCTACCATGCCAGAGTTGTCGTTTGAACAGCATGAAAAACGTGAATTTATCAAATTATAACTTTAAAAAATAAACGATATCAGTTCGTTATGAGTTAATCGAGATATGTAATAGTGTGTTAAGACTTGCTGCTGAGGATATAATAGATAGTTACAACAATCTTATTTTCCATTTAACTCAATGCTTATAATGAAAACACTGTTAAATTAAGAAAAACAAAATATGAAAATGAAAAATAACGAACAACCTTCAACGATGTAAAGAAAAAATAGGGCGTTCGTAAAAGAAAAGAAAAACCTTCTGTTCGAAATGCAGAAATAAATAAAAACAGCTTTTTACTTTACTAATCGATTATCTGCGAGCATAACTTTAGTCGATCAGAGATTTTTCACTTCACCTATTTTGTATTACGTAGTTTAATGAGGCTAAAGAACATATATGAGTTTCACATTTCAGGCTCAGAGCGGCTGCGCTATTCATCGATCTTTTTGTATTTTCTACTATTTATAGCATATTTTTTCCACAGACGTAAGAGATAAGAAAAGCGAATCTAGCGCAGAAGATAGATTAAGTGTAGAATTAACAATTAGTGTCAATGTCTGAAAACTATGCAGTTAATCAAGTCACAAAATTAATGTCAAATTTTTAGTCCTACAAAGTTTTCTATGCATCAACAGATGCCAAGAAAAGAAAAACATGAAAATAAATAGTAAAAAGCACTATAGTCGTGAAACAGTGCCTTTTTATCATTACTTTAGTGCTTAAAAGAAATATTTCACTAATCCCGGGGTTGATTCGACTGTTGTAGAGTCAGAAAAAGAAGATGATTCATGCCGACATACGTGTCGGCTCGGCGCAGTTTAACTAGTATTAATAACGAAAGAATCCTATCAGTTCCAATTCTGTTAATTCAAAACTATTTGGGTTTGATGAGTTTGGATCGTTTTGTGAAACAAGATCTAAAAGAAGTGTTGACATGTGTAGGGGTAGAAATTTGAACACTCATTCGTCTCTCCTCTCATAGTGGACAGAATAACAGGGTCAGGACTAATTATTTTAATGATCGTAACTATTAACTTCATATTTTGCGTAATTACATATACTTGAAACTTTATACTGATTATCTACGTTTACTCAGTCTCTCTTACTCGAAAGATTTCTAGAAAATGAAGCTTTCGGCTTTCGAAAACTGTGAATTAGCATAATAAAAAGTAGTTGTTCCATTATAATGTTCTTTAGAAAAAATGAAACAACAAGTATTAATTCATCTAATTGATACAATTATTAACTATGTATTATGTAAATCTGCCATAGATTAATTACTCTTCAAGAGCCTGACACAGGTTATCATCAATAAATCGTTTCGAACTATTGAATTCTTGCAGACAAAAAACAATAAAACTGCAAATAAGTACCTCATTAGGCATGCACCAAACCCAAACCCAAACCCAAACCCAAACCCAAACTGTTTGGGAGTTTGGGTTTGGGTATTGAGTTTCGGTTTGGGTTTGGGTTTGGGTTTGGGTTTGGGTTTGGATTTGGGTTTAGGTATTGAGTTTGGGTTTGGGTTTGGGTTTGGGTATTTGAGTTTGGGTTTGGGTTTGGGTTTGAGTTTGGGTTTGGGTATGTAGTATGAGTTGCTGTTTTACTTCTGCTGCATCAATTTATTCAACTACTGGTCTTAAAGTATAATGCCATTTATATCCAGCTTCTTCCCTGTATTTAGCTATTTATTTTTTGTCAATATGATCAAAAGCATGTTTCTATGATTCAGATTGTTAAATAGTCACATAAAATTATTCTCAATTCTTAGAAGATAGCTTGAAAAGTGGATATTTTTGATTAGTTTACTCAAAATCTGATCGATGGTATATCGATATCACATTTATCAACTGAGGAGGCGGTTGTTCGACGTTCTACCGTAGTCAAACATTTGTTTTTAAGGGGAAGGTAGAGAACATGAATTCGACCCTATTTTGTTGAGACTGAAGGATGGCTTACAATGAATGAGAACCTCCACATTTTCGCTGCATCTTGTCTAGTTTTCATAGATGTAGACTGAGTATTTTCTTTACTATGCAACATTTGATCATCCACGATATTGCATGCATGTGGATGTCACAGGAATAAAGGCAAAAAGTGTTACTGTAGTAATGATAGGAACATTGAGTACCAGTAACTTCAAAACTCGAAATGCAACTTGATTGTGTTCATGCGCTGTCACATCAATCTAGATAAACAAATTGCACTGTGCATTTTGTGACACTAGCATAAGTTTTCGAACAAAATAATCAATGAACATTTCAAGTCAAGTTGCTCCAGTCGTCTTCTTCGTCCCAGTGCAGATCAAAGCGAGCCATGCTCATAATATAGACGTTAGTAGCCGAGAATATCTAATGAGTATTTATAAGTCTTATTAGTAATTTAATCTAATATTTACAATCAAGTCAGAATAATGAAGTTTGAGATACGTGAATTTCACATTTTATACTCTGAAAAACTGAATTAACAAGTTTCTGTAAAGCTTCAAAAGTGCTATCTTCTCAGTATTCTCTACAACTTTCATAGCGCAACGTAATTAATAAAAATAAGGATTACTTAATGGTTTCAGAGAAAATTTTCGCTTTTCATTTGAGATAAAGAACGCTTAACTATCACTTATAATTTGTGTAATGAATTCATCATTAAGTGAACTTTTTAACAAGCTATTATAATATAATAGAGCATTTGAAGCTCTGCAAGAAACGAAAGTACCATTTGCCTAAACTTCACTATACACTTCAACATAAATGTGCATAAATGCATGACAAATGTACTTTTTTGTCTAAAAAGTAATGCTGTAAGTCTGACAGATTTCTGTCATAGGTATTGGGTTGTTTTTTATATCTATGGTACATATCAATCAATCTTTTCATTGAAACTTAAACGCGAAGCCGTTTCGAAAATATGGAATACATAACTATCAAAAACAACAGAGATGTTGATGAAATACTGCGAAGTTCTTCATTCTGACCAGTCCCCTGGGAATGCTTTTGCAAGTGGTTTTCATATGATGTCTGTAATATTACAAAATTAAAGTCATTTATTTTTTATTTTTATGAGAAATATCTTTTCATGACTCCGTGCACAATCAGATAGTAAATCTTTTTAGGAAAGTTTTATCTGAATCCATAAAAACTAGGGAAGATATGAAGAAAATACAGAAACCCTCTTTCTTCACGCGTCACGATTAGATCAGCGAGCTAAAAATCAACAGAATGAGACTTTTCAAAAAATGGTTCAAGATGAATAAAGTCAAGTCAACAATACTCATGATTAGCGGCTGTGATGCAGTCATGCGTTCACATCCACATTGCTATGCCTATTCGCACTTCCTGGCATCTGCATTCACAACTTCATCTGCTAAACTTCGAACATTCAGAGACTTGATACATTCACAGCTATATAGTAAACAACCTTAAGTAATCGAATAATATCCGTAAGAGGTTACAGTCACTAAATCA